TACACAAAGCTAATATGGTGTTTAACAAATATACATTTAAATGGGACAAATCTTTCCAGTTCTTAATGAAAAAAAGGGAAGATTTTTAACTAATGTTAATTTAAGGTTGAATTAAATCCAATAATATTACAATAAAACATTACTTGCCTCATCAAAAATCATTAAAATAGGAGTATTAAAAGCTATTAAAATAAATGTGATTGTATTCAAATTTGAAATCATGGAAAAATTTCTATTATACGAAGATATTACTGCACAGTACTGAAAGCTGAACTTGGGAAATACCGGATAAGAAATATCACCTTTGGAAATAAATACCAAAGGAATGGTCTATGCAATGAATATTTTAAGAAATATGTTAGAAAATTATATCTTATCCAAACCTATTAAGGCATTAAAGATTTCTACATTATAAAAAATTATTTAACTCATTTTTATTTGCTTTCTGCAGAAACACTTAAGTCACAACGCTTGTCTCATATGGAATCTTACTTTATTTTTCTTAATTGCAGCCATAAAATTAAGTACTTAATCAAATATTAGTGAAGAGTCATTTTTAAGTGTAGAAAATATAAATGATTATAAATGCATATTTCAAATCAAAGTTGCACTATCTAGTGTATAATTGTAATTATAAATTAACAAGCAGTCTCCATTTTTAGGCGGTTTGAATTAGTCCAATCCAGATTTACTTAATCCAATCACTGGAGGAAATGAAGTGTAGCATCAAGTAAAATAATCTGATTTCAAGTCAGACACTGTCTGCAATCAAATGAAGTTCATAAAAATAGCAACAATCAAATGTTTAGCAAACAAGAGAAGGATCTGGTAAATTTCAGTTAGATGCATAAAAATAATAAAATGAAAACAGGAGGGAGTCACAAGGCTGTGACTTAATCAATGCTGGACAGTTTTTTTCTGCGAACGTTATCCACATTATGAGATTATTTATAACACTTAACTCCCTTTCAGATATAATACCTGTTCGAAAATATATTTCTTATATTTTGCAAAAGTCTTGTAAGTGCTAACTTATTAAACTAGCTGTGCTGTTGGTGGATGACAAAGTCTTGTATTAACTGCAAGAGCATTCAGAAATGTTGATGAAATAATCACTTAACAATTATGCTTTTACTTGTGGGGACAGTAAAGAACAAGCAATTATTTTTTAATGTGCGTGATTGAATATTTAACATTGTGTTTTAAATTATATTTTTCTTAAACTGGTTCTTACTGCAAGTCCTGTCTAAAAGATTGGGATATTAAAATCCCAATGAGAGCAATATGTTTGATTTCATTAAGTGAATGTATAGTTATTTATTTTATTTGGCAGACATATCAAGAAGGCAAATAATACTGACCAGTTTATTCTGTAGTATATGAGGACACCCATCTCCCTCAATTAGCAAAGGCTAATTCCTAAAGTGGTTAGTATGCACGACATCATGCAACTAAATCAAAGCAATTAGCATCACAGCTATCTGCATCTGACTGCCTTCTTTGTGATTGGTACCTTCAGTTTACAAACACAGCACAAGCTTTTAAATAAGGCTTGGTTTTTCCAATAACTTGGCTTTTAGTTCTGGATGATTGTGAATAAACATGCCTCATCTGGCAGTTTGGTACTGTGCTCTGTGATCCGAACTAAACCCTAAACTTCAAGAACTAGGCTTTCACTATTACTCGAGCACATACATGCTGATGCTATCATGGAGTTGTTCTCAAGTGAGCTCTGAGTGTCTTGTGTGTTGATCATATATTCAGTTGGATTATGTATTCTGTCAAGTCCGACCACATTCCCTTCTTCCTCATCATAAACTAATATTACAAATATAACAATTTACAGCAGTGAAATCTGAATTAATCTTGTTTTCTTCCTTTCATTCATTCAATCTATTTTTCAAAAAAATCTATTAGAATACCTCATTGTCATTTTGTTGATCCATTCCCATTTGGCAGCTAGGCAAATTGACAGGAGCGGGAAAACCAGCGATTGGAGGCCACGCCTGGGGATTGCTAGAACAGTTCCTGCGACTAGGAGAGGGACAGGCTATCATCAGGAAGGAGAACAGCAGTTGACAATCAGGAGAAATGCAGGAAGCTGAATGCATCTTTGACAGGCTGAGGCCAAGGGAAACCTGTTTCTCAAAGCCGTCCAGAAATGCTGGAAAAGGCAGCTACCTTGAGAAGCTGGGAGCTTTCACCTTACTTTAGTGATGGTTTGCCTGATCCCTGGGAATCATGAAGCACCAATGATTTTTAAACCTTGTTTCCAATTGCACTGTTAAATCTGTTAATGCAATGTCTTGCCTCTTCATTATAGACTACACTTGGATAATATGTTATCTTCTGGCATTATAAAGATAGTGCATCCATTTGCAGTGTGGTCTCACCCACCCCGATCCTTTCCCACTTCAAAGATAAACAGAAATTGCTGGAGAAACTCAGCAGGTCTGGCAGCATCTGTGGACAGAAAACAAAGTTAACATTTTGAGTCCAGTGATCCTTCTTCAGAACTACCATGTGGCATTGGAACACTAACGTCTAGCCTTTACAATATCACTGAAGCTGTCATTGTGAATTACCTAAGAGTTCATGCTTTCAACATCAACTCAATGCTTGAAGCTTGGATTTTCAAACCTCCAGCCACAAATGTCAAATATAAAATTGTGGGCCTAATGTGAGGATTTGGAAGCACTACCATTTGAATCTTAAAACAAAGTGGTTATTTTGATCAGCAGCCATTGCCTTATCCTGTTATGACTCAGTAAATATAAGCAATCAAGGGTCGCCCATAGAGACTAGAAAAAAAATCCAGTATTGTATTGAGTACAAATGAGGTAATATATTGACTTCAGTGTTCATGAGTAGAAGAAATGAAAAATCAGCTAGAACTGCTCTTCCTGTTCAAAAACAAAAGTCTTCCCCTTGAGCATTTGAAGAAGACAGTTTAAAAACTCAGCTGTTATACCACATAATAATAACTTGCGTTTATATAGCATTTTTATCATAGATACTTCAAAGGGGCATTCTCAAAATAAAATTTGACACTGAGCCACACATGGAGATATTCGGTTAGGAGACGAAATGCTTCACCAACGAGATGGGTTTTATGGAAAGTTTTACAGCAGGGGCAACAAAGGGAGTTTCAGACCTTGGCGATTGAAGACGTGACTGTTAGTAGTGGAGCAATGAAAATCAGGAGTGTTCAAGCAGCCAGATTTGGAGGGATGCAGACATGCTGGAGGATTGTTAAGCTGGAGGAGATAGCAGAGACAGGGAGGGATTTAGAAAGAGCAGAATCTTCAACTTGAGGTACACAAATGTGTTGCCAGCATTGTTAATAAAGATCAATCACTTTGATAAGAAACAAGGACTCACTGCTGCCTGATTAGAAGTAGTCATTAATAAAAAAAAAATGAAAGAACTGTGGATGCTGTAAATCAGGAACAAAAACAGAAGTTACTGGCAGCATTTATGAAGAAAAAAATCAGAGTTAATGTTTTGGATCCTGAGACCCTTCCTTAGAACGTAGAAGTAGTCATTACTTGGCATGCACCTGATAGAAAAATTGTCGTATAAATATAGCTTACACGGGCTTTGTGACCTGGAATATTTTAATTTTGATTACAGAAGAGAGAAATAAGTGATGAGGTAGTGTTAGTGAAGGATTCTATGTCCACACTAGAGTGTCTTATACAGTTAGATTAAGATTGATTCCATACTAGATGCCTCACCCAGTAGAAACATCTTTCTTACCTGCATCCACCCTTCCTATCACTTTAAATAATTTGCGGATTTCACTTCTCATTCTTAAAAACTCTAGAACATGCAGGTTCAGTTTGCCCAATCTCTATTCATAACACAGTCCTGCCATCCCAGGATTAATTCTGGTGAACTTTCATTACATTCCCTCCGTGGCAATAATATCCTTCCTGAGGTAAAGAAACTAAAGTTGCACACAATACTCCAAGTGTGATCTAACTAAGCTCCTGAAAAGTTAAGACTTCACTACTCCTGTAGTCAAATGCAATAGAGTCTAGCATTTCATTAATTCCTCCTGGTTATTGCATCCGCACATTAGCCTTCAGCTAGAACTCTTTGTAAAGCTGCACTTTCTAACCTTTGGGCATTTAAGAAATAGTGTGCTCATTTGTTTCTGTCACCAAAGTGGATAACCTACATGATTCCACATAACATTCCATCTGCCATGTTCTTGCCCACTCTCAAAGCCTATCCAATTCCTCCTGAAGCTGATTTACATCTTCCCCATAACATACATTCCCACTAAACTTAATATCATTTGCAATTTTGAAAATATTACATTTGGTTCTAATATCCAAATCATTCATATATGTTTTAAAAACCTGGGGCCTAAATACTGATCCTTGCAATACCTGACTCATTTATTCCTATGTTTTACTTACTGTCTGTTAGCCAATATTTCACTTATGCCAGAATATTGCTTCCAATTCTTGTGCTTTAATTTTGTTAACCAACTTCCCTTGGGATCTTATCAAAAACCTCCTGAAAATTCAAATGTACTATGTCCATTGCCTCCTCTATACCCAATTTCTGAGTAACATCCTCAAAAAAATCTACAAGTTTGTCTTTCACAAATCCATGCTGACTATGCCAACTCAGATCATTATTTCCAAGTGCCCTATTTTTGACATTCTTTTTAATAGATTCTAGCACTTTCCCTTGATATTAGTCTAATAGGTCTGTAGTTCCCTGTTTTTACCTCTTCCTCCCTTCTTAAATAATGGGTGAACATTTGCTAGCTTCCAATTTGTAGGAATTATTGCAGAATCTATGGAATTTTGGAAGATGATCACCAAAGCAACATACTGCAAGATCCAAGTACAAGGACAGTCTGAATATAATGAAGCAGGATTTATTTTATCTCATTGGCATCAGTTCTTGGCAAACAGAAAAAAGGATTAAGGTTCAATTAGGAAAACAAAATATTTACATAGGATTAAACTTGTAACTCCCACCTTATTGAGGAAATCATTCCTCTGCCTCTCCATCTCCATCTCTCCATCTCTTCATGAGACCCCTTTCTGACAAAGGCACCCCTTCTTCCAGAGACAGTCTGCTCAACTGTTTGAGTTTCCCTGCTCAGTGGCCTCCCTCATCATTGCCATCTGCTGCTGGAGGTCCCAATGCACAATTCCATGCTTGATACGTGCCATAGCACCCAGTAACTATTTACTCAGCATTTGAGTGATCAGGTTGATTGCCTGTGATGGTCAGAATATTGGTGTCCATATTACTGGCAGCATTCTCTTCTTGACTCACTGATCAGGGCAAGAGATAAGGGCTGGGGTGATTTCCAGCATTTACTTGAGAGGACCGTGTCAGCTTTTTATTTGTACTGGTACTTTCCACGGGATCCGGGCTCTGTGCTGGATGACCTATTCTAGGATCTAGGTCAGTCAGATGATTGACAGCCCTCATTGCTTTGGTTACTGTCTCCCGTCAGGTCATTCCTGCATTGTTTCTTAGAGTGGAAATAGACCTTCCCGCACTCTACGTACCTCCTCAATTCACATTGACCGGGCCATCACCATCAGAGGACATGGTGAGCCCAGAGGAATGGTCCAAAGGAAGGAATAGATCTCATCCAAAGAAGAGATAGGGTGGAGAAGAGCCCGTGGTTTGTGTTGTTAAAAGCCTAAGCCAGTTCCAGAAGGTATGCATACAGAGTGGAAAGCAGGCCATTCAATCCATCAAGTCCCAACCAACCCCCCCGAAGAGCATCCCATCCATTATCTTCCCCTGTCCCTGCATTTTCCATGGCCAATCCACGTAATCTACAGATCCCTGGAGACTATGGACAATTTAGCATGGCCAATCTACCAACCTCCAAATCTTTGGATTGTCAGTGGAAATTGGAGCACCTGGAGGGAACCACACAGACACAGGGAGTCACCTGAGTGTGGAATCGAACCTGAATCCCTGTGTGTGAGGCAGCAGTGTTAACCACTGAGCCACCGGGCCATCCAGACTACTTTTGTTTCCTTCAGGGGCATGGTCAGCCATACAAGACATGGTTGAATAATTTACAATGTCCATTACTGTCGAGGTGATAGGGTATGGTGCAGGTCTTGCCACAGAACATACAAAACTCCTGTAGGATCTTACTCTCATAGTTGTGCTCCTGATCACTGTGAATCTGCCATAGGACTTTGAAATTGGCAAGCCAAATATTTTCTAATTGTCTGGCTAGAATTGAGGCCATTTGTTCACAGGTAGGAATGGCCTGTGTGAACTAGGTGAAGACATCCACAAGTATGAGAATGTGCTCAGTTCCATTACAATTAAAGACCAGTAAGCTTAACATCTCTGGTAGGTAACAAAAACAAAGTTGCTGGAAAAGCTGAGCAGGTCTGGCAGCATCTGTGGAGGAGAAAACAGAGTTAACGTTTCGGGTCCGGTGACCCTTCCTCAGAACCGATGGTGGCTGGGAAAAT